GCCCCAAAGTTTGGTGTCATCGGCAAACTTGGCCAGTCCGCTTCTGACTTCAGTGTCCACATCATTAATGAAGATGTTGAACAGTTGGGTCCAAGGACAGAGCCTTGGATTGGGCACTTCAGTGGAGCTTTTTTGACACTTTTATCTAAGAGTCAATTCATCCATTACCAGCTACAAAAAGCCTTTTTAGCTACTTACTAATGGTGACATAGTGCAAAAGTGCAAAAAAAAAAGCTCCACTGATCTATACAAACGTCTGGCAAGCTGGGTCCAACTAACATGATACCGCTTCTGGGCATGTGCAGGGCTCAGCGTGGGAGTATGCCGAGTTTAAAGTAATTTTTTGTTAACGTCTGTCATCAGCCTGACATAATTTTTATCCCTCTGTAGCCATACCTGAAATCTAGGCAGGTCTAAAAAGCAGCCTGACACGCCATTTAAACTCTTCACATTCATTTGAAGAGGCAAGTTTGGTTCAGCCAAACACTGTAACTCTTGAAATCAAAAAGGGTTTTGTCTCAGTAAAAACTATGGGAAAGATTTTTTTTCAAAGTATTTATGGCCTCAATTACCAATAGGTTCTAAATACCATTAAAAAGCTTGCCCAGAGGTCATAACTTTGAACCCCTCATTCCCATGGCAAGCAGGAACTCAAAAACTTATCATCACTGAATTCAAGGATAATTCTTAGGAGACTAAATTTGCATGAGGGCAATGAAGTACAATGTGGCCCTCTGAATCATGCAATATGATCCTCTGAGCAACATAACTGCGCAGGGGGGATGGAGCAGGAGTGGGGGGTAGTAGGGCAGCAGTCCTGGGCACTGCCTTTGTAGCAGGGTGCAAAAATAGTCATCACCCTACAGCAGCTGGCTGTGTTTCTTTCCATCATTGGTACTGTGGCAACAGGTATGCCCCCATGTGTCAAAACTGTCCCAGTCACTGAACTGCCCTGCTACACCTCTGCCTCCTCTTTTGTATTTAAACAAACACAAACCCCAAAAAACAACACTTCCTACTTCCCTCCCTCTCCCATACAACTGAAACTAACATCAAACTAGGAGTGGATCAGACGTCACATAAGTGGCTGAAATCCTAACCTTGGTGTCTACATTTGGTGACATTTTTCCATAGATTCCAAAATAGCACAGTAGTTGGCCTAAACAGAATATATTATTATTTTTGTGTGTAGGAACAGTGAAAAAGGCAAAAAAAATCTGTAATTTTCGTTCTCAGTAGGTTCATTGGAAAGAATGTTTTCTAGATTTCCTGAGTTTGTAGCCCTTGAACTAGATTCCCCCAGGTCAGCAGTGGTGGATGCCTCCTGACAGGTCAGGTTGAATCCAGCAAACCTGTCTGTATGAACAATCACCTACATCTCAAATAAACACTTGGTCCTGTCATGGTTTTACATGCAGACCATTTTATTCACTATTATCAAATATTTCAAAAGCATATTCTTTCATGAACATGCATTTTTTTTAAATATTGGTATTAGCATATGAAAAAAGTATACTCGTGCACAAGTAATCCACTTCATTGTTTGTAACTTGCTGGTTGTCTTTTTTTTGTTGTCCCTAGCTCTTCCTGTCTGAATAGCTTCAATCAAGAAATTAAAAAGTGGAAATATATCACATGACCAATCACAAGGCATGAAACTGGAGTCAAAAGATCTGAAATTTATTCCAAGCTTAATGGCCGAGGGGTGATGTGGGTAGCATCTCATTTTTGTCTACTTTTGGTTACGTGGCTCAAAGGACTAGGTATTCATTTTATAGTTGACTCAGCTGAGAACACTCAACAGAGCCCAAGCCAGGACCAAGTCTTGAACTCCAATCTCCTGACTTCATAGCAAGGCACAGTGATCCTTTTTCCTTGAAAACTGAATAACAAACAACAAAACAGTCACACACCAGGAAGAGCTGACCTATTTTTCAAAGAATTATTAATAGCAAATAAATGAATACCATTCCAAGTTTGTTTGTGAACAGCTTTTTAGTTGCAAACTTTGAACTTTATTCATTTGCTGCTTCAAAAGTGTGTCCAGGATAGATGTGCTATAGCTAACCAGGGAGAAGGGCCATAGGTAGGACAGTAGAGGATGTTGCTGATGCAACACATTCCCCATGAGACTAAAGTTCCTTTTCTCTATATGTGAATTCTTTATGGGACTCGGCAGACCAGGTTGCAGTATTTTGAAACATCATGCTCTATCATAGGAGAACAAGAGTTTTTGCATTTAAGCCAATTTAAGAATTGGAAATAAATCAATTGAAATGGTCCTGGTTTCAAGGACCAGCTGAAAAGCATATGAAGTCAAATTCATATGCCTCCATTGGAAATACATCCTTCTGTACTCGAAGGTTCAGCTAACAGTTCTCTTGTAGTATGTCAGGCATTGTTTTGCATGGTTAGTGGCTCGTGCAGAAGAAGTGTGCATTGCTCCTCAGCTCCTGAGTGCATCCGCTATCATAGAGCTTTGGAACTGCTTTAGTGGAATTTACTGACTAACATCCTGAAGGCATGAGGTTCTATATTTCTGTTAACTTTACTCATGGTGAGTGGTATCGTAGTCATAATCATTGGCACAAATGTTAAAAATATAATGAGTCAGGGAACAAAAATATCAAGGTATAAGTCAGGAGATTTTTTTTTAATTAATAATAAATGTGAAGTTTGTTTTTATTTGTCCTTTGGGTTTTGAAAATTTAGGATTCATTGAGGCTCCTGATTTCAAGTTCTCTTTCACAGCCACAAAGGCTAGAAAATAATTTTGTGTCATAAATGAAAGCTGAGAATCTCACATAGTTATATGAGTTTATCAGCCAAGGCTTTAAGAAAAATTCTAATTAACATAAGACTCTCATTAAAATTGAAAAAAATAAGAAACATTGCTGCTTTGATTTTAGAATAAACTTCTCAGTATGAGGAAGGCAGAATCTAGACCTTAAAATTTTACTATTTAAAAATACAGTTTTTAAAGTGCTCAGTTCTTATAAAATGTGCTTTAAGAAACTATCTGCAGGGTACAGTGTTATAAAATAGCTCAAGTAACAATAATTAATATACATCTCTGTTCCAAATATTTTGAAAAAAGATATGGGTCTCCAAAGACATTTTAAGGTATTCTGCTAAAAAAATAAGGGCTTTTCCTATTATAGTTATTAAATAAGATCTGTTTCAAAATGTAACTTCTCAGATGAAGCACAATTAAGTTGTTTTATATACATGAATAACTCTACCATGCCTATTCTCTTATGCCCTAGCAGCAGTATAGTTATATATAAATAACCAAGCAACTCTTTGAGAGGTTGAGATCAGCTGGTTTCATTTTTTGCCACAAGTATGTGGTGCAAAGCTATTTCCTTATAACCACATTCCCAGTGATTCGTATGGATACTAGAAAGCTGGCACTGATGTTATGATTAAAATATAGTAAGTTTAATTTCCATCTTCATGTTCCTAATATGAACAAACAAAAAATGAACTAATTCCCAAATGATGTCAAGGTTATTTCCCCAGGCTTAAATACAGAGTGCTTCCTCGGGGCCCCAAGAGAGAAAATCCACAATGAAAATGGTCCAGCAAGACAAAAAGGTGCCTTGAAAGTGAATGTGCATAACTTACAGAGTGCAAAGCAAAGCTAGTCCCACCTCTATTCATCCCCCTTATTACTGCTCTCTAGGATGAGAAGAATACAGTGGATGCCACTTTGTTGCCTGAATAGGAGATAATTCCATCACGGCTAGTCAACCTTGGTGAGAGGAAGCTGAGGAGGCAACAGAAGATGCTAAACTTTTTGTCAACATTTCAGAGTATACATTCCACACTTATGAGGAAGAGTATAGATGCCCTCAGTATCCCTACAGTCAAATGTTGATTCATGAAGGACAGGCTAGCCTGATACCAATATATACCCCTTACTATCATAAGGGTTGCACAATTGGGCCTTTAATAGGTGTGGGTGCTTAGCCACAGACCGTAACTTCATTTTCTTTCCTTTGGCCCCAAGGACTATATGTTTCCACCTTAACAGAGAAGTAACTTATTACAATAGTAGCTAGATTTTTGTCAGTTCCAGGAACAAAGATCAGAGGCTGACTGAGTACAGGTGCAAATCTCTTCGTAATGCTTTCCTGGTGAGAAAATAGATTACCTCCAGTTTTATATTTTGATTATTAGAATATTTTCTCCTACATTCTGCATCTAAAAAATCCCCAAACTCTACAGCTGGCAGCTTTCTGCCACCACCAGTTCCAATGGCAACATTCAGGCTGGGTGCAGACATTCAGGGAGGTTAGGAGGAGGTTAGATTAAGTTAAAAATAGCAACCTGATCCAAGGTATGTGTGGGTGGATGGGTGTGGGGGGTTTGTAGGAAGTGTGTTTGTGGCGATGTGTGGGTATGGGATTTGTGGGGTGTGTGGAGGGTGTCTGTGGGTGGGCGTGGGGGGGTGTGGGTGCATGTGT